TTACCTATCTTCAAACTATTCTCATCCTGCCTGGTATGCATTGATGACCTTATAAGCTAAAGGTCACTCAGGAGTATTCTGTTGGTTCTATTCTTTTTAGATCCATGAGATGATCAGACAAGAAATTCTGGAGCAAGTCCTCAACAGGGTTGTTACCAGAGCATCCTCTCCCATCAATCATTTCTTAGGTACTAAACTTTGAAAACATGGATAAGATTTTGGGAAATACTTTATGATGCAGGAGAGTTTAATGAAATATCTTTGATTGTGATGCCAGTTTGACATATACATCTGTGTTGTCTGTGGTTATCAGTAAGGAAAGGAACATTTAAATAATGAGGGGTACTTTCAGTTTTCATTAGTGGTTTTTTTTGTTTGTTTTTTTTTTAAATACTTCTCAAATGATTGCTTTTCTGTTATTTGTTGACCTCCTAGCTGCTTAGACCTAGACATTCTGAAGTCAGAATTCATCTCTTTGGTGACTTATAAATTTGCTGGGTTTAGTACATATCTCCTAATATCTAAATACATTGCCTTTTTCTCAGTCACCAATTTTCTTAGTTTCTCTTTCATTCGGTCTGTTCACAACTTCCTGAAACTTTTTAAATAGATGTTCTGGTGACTACTAGTTTGCTTTTCATGCCTGTGGCCAGTTTTTTTTTTTCTTTTTTCTTTAATAGGAACTTTTCTTACTTCTATCCTTAAATGTCTGTAAAGTTTAATACTTAATAGTTTATTCTGCTTTTTTTCCCTTTGTTGACAGCTTTATTAAGGCATACTTGATGCATAATAATCTCCAGATTGAAAGTATAACTGTTTGATTATTTTCAATTCATGTATACATCTGTGAAACCATTACCACAGTCAAGATGTATATATCTCACCCACAGATGCTTCCTGATGTCTCTTGGTAGTCTGTTCCTCAGTTTCTTCTTTCTCCACTGCCCATCTCTAGTCTGTTTTCTGTTACTATAAATGTCGTGTGTGTGTGTGTGTGTGTGTGTGTGTGTGTGTGCGTGCGCGCGCGCGCACACTAGGGATTGAACCCAGGGCCTTGTACATGCTAGCATACATTCTGCCACTGAACTATACCACCAGCCCTTAAATACCATTTTTTGAATTTTATACAAATGGAATGATGTAGTGTACATAACTTTTTTGGTGGGGATGATGACTTCTTTCACGTAGTATTCTTTGATTTATCTATGATTTGTGTTATGTGTATCAATAGTTGATTCCTTTTTGTTGTTAGTATTTTATCTTAAGAATATAACTAATTTTTTCATTCATTCACCTGAAGATATTTTAGGTTGTTTCTGGTTTGGAGCTAACAAAACCTACTCTGAACATTCCTGTGTGTGTGTTGTTTTTTTTTTGTTTTGTTTTTTTTTTTTTAGTTGTAGTTGGATCCAATACCTTTATTTATTTTTATGTTGTGCTGAGGATTGAACTCAGGGCCTCGCACATGCTAGGCGAATGCTCACCATTGAGCCACAACCCCTGCCCATGTTTGTAAGTTTTGTGTAGCCATAATGATTTCATTTCTTGGGAAAACACGCAATGAATCAGGTGTATTATATAATAAATGTTTAACAGTTGAATAAACTGTTAAACTGTTTTCCAAAGTGGTTGTACCATTCAGCATTTCTCCAGCAGTGTTCCCAGTTTTTGCACATTGACATCAATACTTGGTATGGTCATCCTTTTTAATTTTGGGCATTCTCATATTAATAATGGTGTCTAATTGTGGCTGATGATGCTGAACATTTTTTTAATATGTTTGTCATCTGTATATCATCTTTGGACAAGTGACTATTCAAATCTTTTGCCCATTTAAAAAAAATTGAGATGTTTGCCTTAGTATTTGAAGAGTTCTTTATATATTCTAAATAAGTTGTGTCAGGTATAATCATCTCCCTCGTATCCATTAGGGAATGGTTCCAGGACTGCCTCAGATACCAAAATCCACAGATGCTTCTGTTCTTTATATAAAATGGTATAGTATTTACTATAATCTATATACATCCTCTCATAAACTTTAAATCATCTCTAAATTATTTATGATACTAATATAGTGTAGTTATTATATACATAGTTTTTATGTATTGTTCAGGAAATGGTAAGAAAGAATAGAACATATATGCTTTGTACAAATATAACCATTATAGAACATATATGCTTTGTACAAATATAATCATCATAGACATAACTACATGTCAGCAACAAAAATCACATTTTTTTCAAGTTTTCTATACATGGTTGATTAAATCCATAGATGGGGAACCTGTCGGATGGAATCTGTTCATATGGAGGTCTGACTGCACATGTTTTCAAATAAATATTCACCCATTCTGTTTATTTATTTATTTATTTTTGGTTATACTGGTTTAAGAAGCAAAAATTTTTAATTCAGTGAAGTCCAGTTTATTGATTTTATTTTATGATTTCTACTTTCGTGTCAAATGTAAAAAATATTTGCCAAACCAAAGACCACTGATATTTTCTCCTGTTTTCTACTAGAAGTTAAATAGTTGTAACTTTCATCCTTAGATTGTGATCCATTTTTGTTAAGTATTGTTTATGGTGTGAGGTAAAAGGGATTTTTAATGTTTTTAATTTCTTATTTTGCATATAAGTATCTTGTTGTTTTGTCAAAACTTGTTTTTTGGACTAATTTTTAAAATAATTTTCTGAGTGTTTTTTAAATTTTTTTTTATTAGTTGTATATGGAACACAATACCTTTATTTATTTTTATGTGGTGCTTAGATCAAATCCAGTGCCTCACATGTGGTAGGCAAGCGCTCTACCACTAAGCTACAACCTCAGCCCCTTGAGTGGTATTTTTGTTAAAAAATCAGCTGGCCATTTATGTGTGGTCTATTTCAGGAAGTATTCCAATGATCTATGTGTCAGTGTTTGTTTTCATTGCTGTAGTTTTGTAGTAAGTCATAAAATCAGATATTGTTAAGTCCTTGAACTTTACTTTTCAAATGGGTTTGGATCTTTTAGGTCCTTTGCATTTTCAAATCAATTTTAGACTCCAGTCTGTCAATTTTCAGAGAAAATTGATCAAGTTTTGATTGAGGTTGTTTTGAGTCTTTGGGATTAGTTTGGGATCTGAACAATATTGAGTCTTTTAACCTGTGAACACATCCATTTCTCATTTATTTAGACCTTGTTTAATTATTTGCAATATGGCTTTGTTTTCATTGCATGGATCTTTGCATACCTTTATCAGAATTATCTTTAAGTATTTTATATGCTTTTGAGATGGATGTAAGGCATTTCTTAAAATTTTTAATTTATATATAATTGTGCAAATAGATATACAGCAGTGTAAGATGTTGTACATAGAAGTTACATCATCTGTGAATCAAGACATTCCCAGTAATTTGTCTTTTCTTTTCAGCCTGGTTAGCTAGGGGCTTGTCAGCTCTTTCTTTGTGGGGGGTTGGGTGGGGGGGAATATATGCATGTATTTAATAATGAAACAGTTCATTCATTAACAACAAAAAATATAAAAATTCATGAGACCCCAGAACTATGGAAGAAAATGAGATATCAAGGAAAAAAAGCTGCTGACCCAGAAGGTAATATGATGAGCAAAGCAAAGGTAAATATGGCTTGGATAGTATTGAATGATTTGAAAAGGAGAAAGGCTGAAGAAGCAACCAGTTATCTGATTGCTTGGCAGCAAGCTGCCTTATAGAATACTGCACAGAATGGAGGCTATGTGCCAGAGAAAGGCAGGAGAGGAAAAGAAGAATGTATAACCCAGGGTAAACAGGTGGAAGAGAGAAGGAATTATGGAGATGACTCTAAGATCTTTTGATCCCTCTAAAGTCAGTGTCCTAAGTTTTTAGATGTGTTGGTCAAATTCTATAATCACAAGTAGCATTAGGCACCCATGAAGAAATGGTGGGGAAAGTAGTTTTTAAAAATAAAAAGGTGACATGGATTTTCCTTTACAGAGCTTATAACCTATATGAGGACACAACTTCTATGTATAAAACTACTATAAAATATATTTACAAAGTAACATACATACAAATAAATATACATATGACTAGCCAACATAGGAAAGCTAAGGGGTACTATGTAAATATTTACTTAGAAGTCCCTAGGAGAGTTGCTGAAGGCTTCCTAAAGGAAAAAATGTTGGATTTTTAAACGTAGTGTTAGTAGAGAGTAGGGCATGTGCAAAGATACAGAAAAATAAATATACCATGTTCAGTAAACAAGCTTGATCAGAGAGTCCCAATATATCTAGTTACGAAGTGAGTGTGATGAAACAGTAGAAGTCAGTTCAGTGAAAGACACTACAATGTTAGATCTGGTCCCTAAACAAAATGAATAAGGAATGAATGTTTTATCTAGGTAAGGATAAGTGGCCCCAAGTCCAGGACCAACTCCATTTCTCCCAAGTTTGGTATGCAAGAGACAGAAAGCAGCAGTCAAGAGAGTAGAGAAGCTCTCCGCTTCTGTGAGCAAATAGAAGGAACTGCTTTCTGCAAGAACTCCAAAGTGGCAAGTAGACCCTCAAGAGCAAAGAAGTTAAAAAAAACTCAAAAGAAATTCCTGTGCAGTGGCTCTATTTTATAATCCTAAGGCCAGCCAGATCGTGGTCATCTCAAGTTTTCAAGCAGAGCATACTTGACCCTTACTTCTAATTATTGGTGGGAAGCATATTATATATGCTTATTAAATTCTTTATTTTTGAATCCTACCATTTAAGAAATTTAAATGAGGATGAAAAGAGCCCCAATCTATAGAGAGTGTTCATGCCCCTGAAGAAGGACAAATCAGGAAGGTCCCCAAATCTCCCCTGTTCTTAAAGTGGAAAAGCAAATTATCACATCTTGAAAAGAGGCTGCTCTCAGCCAAAGCAAGTAAGACTTTTTTCTTCAAGCCTATTTATCTGAAGCTGTTGGGGGGGGGGGGRGTTTGGGCCAAGTGTTCAGTGGCAGCCAGAATCCCACTCTGTGTCATAGCAGTTCTGCTAGAAGGTGCTGGGTCCCTGTGATGTTAAAATCTACTGTTGGCGCCCAATCTTGATGCTGTTTGCCTTATTGTGGACATAGATAAACCCTGCTGGATCTTCCTGTATATTTCTTTGTGTTAATGAGGGCCTCTTCAACATTGCAGGCTGTTTCGCCTGAGTTTCCATGAATGTAAGTCATGCTCATGAGCAAAGGCCTTTCCTCCTTCTCTCTTCACATCCCTGTGGGACTCTAGGTCACCTTTATTCCCAGTTTTCATGAAAACCACATGCTAGAATGCTGGTGGGCATCCTCTAACCATGAGGCCAGGTGATTGAAGGTTTCATGTCTTGTAATGTCATATACCAGCAATGCTCCAACTGTTCCCCTGTAGTAGGAACAGGTGGAAGATGGAAGGATTCTTGCCTATCTGTATCCCAGATTTGCTGTTTGATTTGTTTTCCATCAATGTTGACCACGTGGGTCCCAAACTCCACACCTATTGTGAGGTCATGGACAGGCTGGGATTGCTTGCCTATAAGTTGCAGGAGGAGGCATGACTTCCCCACAACTGAAAGAGGAGGATGTATATGCAAGCATGAGGCCTAAGAACTTTCCAACTGTTAGACTCTGGGCATCTAGGACAGTTTTAATAATCTGTCAAAGAATGAGGTTTTGGTTTGATTTTTATTTTTCATTTTTAGTTTCATTGATTGCTGCTTATTTGTTTTTTCTCCTTTCTGTTTGCTTTTGCCTTTTTTTTTTTTTTTTTTTTTTTTTTTTTGGTACCAGGGATTGAGCCCTGGGGTGCTTAACCACTGAGCTTGCAATCCTTCTGCCTCAGCCTCCCCAGTTGCTGGGATTACAGGCATGAGCCACCATGCCTGGCTTTGCTGTTTTTAATGATTGAAAGAATTAGAATAATGTTTCATGAAGTGCAAAATCTAGATCTCAGAGTTCATAAATCAAATACTATTGCAACATAGCTATGCTCATTTGTAGGTGTTAACTGTTTTGCTTCACACTAGACCAACAGAGTTGAGGTAGTTGTAACACATTATAAGGCCCATAAAGCCTAAAATATTCACCTTCTGACCTTTGATAGGAAGAAAAATACCAACTTCTCATCTATTATATTTACCCACATTTACCCTTTTTTCCTCTTATATTCCAAGTTTCCTTGTGCTTGTGGAAAGGATTTTCAACTACAAAATCAATTTCTTTAATACAAATAGACTATTCCAATTATCTTAGAAGTAATTTGATCATTTTTTCCAAGTTTATTGCTATAAATTGTTCAGAATAATCCCTCCCCGCCCACCCCCACCCCCCTTCTCTTTTCAGCCCTGGGGATTGAACCCAGGGCATAATACACAGGAGTCAAGCATTCTGTCACTGAGTTACATCCTCAGTCTTTGTAATTTTTAAATTTTGAGCCAGGGTCTCACTAAGTTGTTCAGGCTTCTTATCCTCCTGCTTCAGCTTCCCAAGTAGTTGGGTTTACCCGTTTGCACTCTTACCACATCTTGCCCATATATTCCCTTTAATGCTTCAAGAATCTGTGTTGATGTCCTTTTTCTCATCCCAAGAGTCATAATTTGTGTATTATCTATTTTTTTCCTTATCAGTTTGGCACATTTACTGATTTTATTGAAATTCTTGAAGAACCAGCTTTTGAGTTTTTAAATTTCTTTAATTTTCACTTTCATTTCTTTTTTATTTATGTTTTGTTCTTTTCTCCTTCTTACTTTGAGATTAATTTATTCTTCCTTTGATGGGAAGCTTTTGTCATTAATTTGAAATCTTACTTTTTCTCCAGTGTAAGCATTAAGATATCAGTTTTACTCTTAAACACTGTTTTAGCTACATCCCATCATTTTTTTCATTTTCATTTAGTTCCATATACTTCCTAATTTCCCTTGTGATTTTTTTTTTGGTGGGGGGGTGGGTATTTAAACTTATGAATTATTTAGAAGTATATTTAGTTTTCAAATATTTGAAATTTTTTTTCTTTTTTGATCTTTGTTAGTGATCCTAATTTGCAGTTAGAGAACATACTTTGACAATAATTCTTAAATTTATTGACCCGTAGCTTCCTAAATGGTTTTCAGGCTGCATATTGGTGCCATATTAGTATTCCTAAAAAAAAAAAAAAAACTACCCTATTGTTCTGAAATCAATATATTCTTTAATAAATTATTAGCTCTTGGAGCTGGAGTTGTGGCTCAGCAGTATGTGCTTGCCTAGCATGTGTGAGGCACTGGGTTCGATTCTTAGCACTGCATATAAATGAATAATATGAAGATCCATCAACATCTTAAAAAAAATTATCAGCTTTTCATCCTGGCACTTCAGGTCCTTCAGTTTGATCCTAACCTACTTTTCCCATATTAACTTCAATGATTTACTTTTCTGAATTCTTTTTCACCCAAGTTCTATTGGTTTCTCTTTCATCCTCTGATTAAGTATTATTCTTATCTTTCTTGTATTTTTATATTTAGTAGACCATTCTGTGATCATTTGAACATTAAATGGTACTCATTTTTCAGAACCTGGTTGTTCCTTCTTACTTTTTAAAAAATTGGTCCTTTTTGTTATGTATGACAGTAGAGTCTGTTTTGATAATTATACAAGCATGGAATATTCTAATTAGGACCCTAGTCTTGTGGATGTACATGATGGTGAGATTCACTATGGTTCTTCAAATTCTTGAAGGAAGAGAGACCCATAGTTTAAGCTTTCGATATTCTTGATAGGATCATATTACGCTTGCATGTAATAAAATTTATAAATGTTTATTGGTTTATTGATTTATTTTATCTTGGAAAAACGAGGATGTGCTACTCTTCTAGGCACTATGTTGGATTTCTTCCTTTCTTTTTGGCAGTTTAATTTTTGTAGTCTTGTACTGTCACAAAAAAATGTTGAAGTGTCCTGACTGCATTGACTGGAGAAACACTATGTTTGATAAGTAGAAATTTGTATTGTTGAATAATTCAGAAAGGAAACAAGACTTTTTTTTTAACATTTCTTTCCCCATATTATTTCCCTCTTTTAAAAAATAGTTATTTGAGGTAAGTGACTATAGATTCTTTTTTTCAGACTTGCTCTCAAATATCATCACATATGCACCCTTAGTCCTTCAGAGCTGTTCTTCTAAAGTCACAGAAACTTTTGACTTTTTGTCCTTCCTGCCTCTTCAGACTGTACAAGGCCTACTTAAGGCAGTGCAGGTAAGTTTTTGATAATCAAAGTTAACTTGCCAAAAATGAGGTTTAAGTGTGTAATGGAAGTCTGATACATTTCTTTTTTTTTTAACTTTTTTTTTTTTTTTTAATTCTCTCTCTCTCTCTCTTTTTTTTTTTTTTTTAAGAGAGAGTGAGAGAGAGGGGGACAGAGAGAGAATATTAACATTTATTTATTTTTTCTTAGTTCTCGGCAGACACACATCTTTGTTGGTATGTGGTGCTGAGGATCGAACCCGGGCCACACGCATGCTAGGCGAGCGCGCTACCGCTTGAGCCACATCCCCAGCCCCTGATACATTTCTTTATAAATATTAATGTCCACAAAATCCTATTTCCCTTGAGTCTTCTATAGAAAACTTTGTAGTAAAATGGTAAGAGTGCTGAGCTGGACTGTTTTCAATTTTATTCCTCTTCATAGCATTGTTTGCTCTCCATGGATTCATTTTCTTTTTTTTTTTTAAACATTTATTTTTTAGAAGTAGTTGGACACAATACCTTCATTTCATTTATATTTTTATGTGGTGCTGGGTTTGACCAGGGCCTTACACATGCTAGATGAACACTCTACCGATGAGCTACAATCCCAGCCCCTCCTTGGATTCATTTTCAAGTTTGTGAAGTAATTGAAATTCTCTTAAATTGTTGAATACAATGGTTTACAAATATCTTCAAAATCAGTTTCAATTTATTGTTTCATAGTATATGATTATCCTTATTAAATGTAATCAACATTAAAACATGTATATAAAACAGAACCAAAGTTCTTTATATAAGGCAAATGCTAACAATATTGAGAAGAAATGAGCTAAGCTAATAAATAAGCAAACTCATTCTGTTTTTTACCAGTAATTTTTCTTCCTTCAGCCACTTCTCAAAGTCAGCATGTCAATGAGAGACTCCTTGATACTTGTCCTTCGGAAGGCTATGTTTGCCAGGTATGTAGCATTCCTTGAAATCATAGGAAGTTATGCCTTCTAGTGTTGGGACTAAAAGTTGTCTTTGCCATCTCTCTGTATCACCTATTCACATGAAATTCCTAATCCACCAGAGCATGCTCATCCAATAAGGCATTGTGCTAAGTGTTCTATGTGCTTCTTTTCATTTAGTCTTTAGAGCAACCCTGTGAAGTGAAAAATGCTGCAGTTCCACTTCATAGACAAAGAAATTTAGGGTTAGAGAATATATAAGTAGCTTTCCAAAAGTCAAGCAGTAGTTGATGATGGAAGTAATTTAACATCAAAGCTTATGATCTCAAGTACTCTGCTGTACCACTCCTAGAATTAAGCTTCAGGAAAAAGTTTCATTGCCAAATTCCCTGAAATCTGAGCTGGCAACAGTTCCAAAGGGAATTTACGTATATTCTTAGTTAAGAATATATGTAAGAGGGCTGGAGACGTGGCTCAGCGGTAGCGCGCTCGCCTGGCATACGTGCGGCCCGGGTTCGATCCTCGGCACCACATACCAACAAAGATGTTGTGTCCGCCGAGAACTAAAAAATAAATATTAAAAATTCTCTCTCTCTCTCTCTCCTCTCTCACTCTCTCTTAAAAAAAAAAAAAAAAAAAAGAATATATGTAAGAATATCGGTTTTCATGAACATCAGGATTGTGGTCGTGGACCAGGATGGTAATAAAGTATTCTAAAAATAAAGAGAGACAGTAATATGTAGAAAGCATTTCGTATTTGGAGAATAAGATGCCCAATTAATATCACATTAGCCATGTGATATTACAGATGTTCAGAGGAACACATGCTGCTATTATCTGTTCTAGAATTTGCCACAGTCTGGCTGGGCACAAAATCACGAGCCACTCACACCTTGTAGATTCAAACAGCAACTCTTTATTCCCGAACTCACACTGGGACTCTACACACGTTCTGGGCAAAATCCATACCTCCACTGGGCTCTGTATCCCAAAAAACTCTCTGAATCCCGCGCAAGAACTCAACGGGAACTCAAGGAGCCGACTTGCCCTATTCCCAGCAGGGTACACCTTAAACCTGGAACCACCCTAAACCCAAGGAGCAGGATACTCCCTATTCCCAGCAGGATCCTCCCTAAACCGGGATCCACCCTGGTCCTTGAGCAGGGTCACCTTTCTCATGCAATGTCACTGCAAATGACCTGGGTCCAATATGGAGAGTCCTTCCTCTAAGCAACATTGGGTAGGCTGACAAGGAAATTACAATGCGTCATTCCTACTTGGCAATGGCTCTCAGCAAGAATTGTCAGTTTTGTGTTACTCCTCACCAAACCGAAAATGCATGTTGTAGAATGTGTAACATGAGTTAATCATGGAGCCTCAGCCTATAGAAGAATGTGTCATTTTTCTGGATAGAAGGTTTACATAGCACAAAGTATTGCACTCCTCTGTGAAGAAAGGGAGCCTGTGAAGAGAAGCACTCCTTTGGACACAGAAAAACAAGCAATTTCCTTTGCCATTCAGTACTTTCATTTGAGTTAGCAGCCGATTGTATGACCTCCCATCACTCTACTTCATACCCAATAAGGAGTTGAGAGCAGGTTGGAAGAAAGTACAGATAAAGGCACTAGGTGAAGAAGATAATGAAAAAAAAATTGGCTGTGTTTGTGTATTGCTAATTGCTTTAAATAGCTGATGTGTTAATTTGAGAAAATATAAATTCAGATTGTTTTGTGCTTTTTTTTTTTTTTTTGGCATCAGGGATTAAACTCAAGGGCACTCAACCACAGAGCGATATCCTCGCTCCTATTTTGTATTTTATTTAGAAATAGGGTCTCGCTGAGTTGTTTAGCACCTCATGGTTGCTGAGGCTGGCTTTGAACTCCTGATCCTCCTGCTTCAGCCTCCCAAGCTGCTGGGATTATAGGCCTGTGCCACTGTGCCCGGCTTTTGCTTCATTCTTTATATATGTATTCTTTTTCTGCATGGGACTCACTGGATATTCATATTTCCTGTAAAATTAATGCTATTTGTTAACCTCTGTCTATGTATTCCTGAGCTAGCCAGCTTGATGCCCGAAAATCTGCAGTTGCTGGGTTTTTGCTGCTCCTGAAGAACTTTAAAGTTTTAGGCAGCCTGTCATCCTCTCAGTGCAGTCAGTCTATTGGCATCAGTCAGGTAAGGATTGTACACACTGACTTTTAGTTTGAGCATTAAAGCAGAAGCCAATAATATGAAAACTACTTTTAAAAAATTCCTATTATGGTTTTAAGAACCTATTGTGAAACTGAGTTCTGTCATGAAGATGATGATGGTTGTGGTATCAGTTACTACTTACCTCAATAATTATTTTATATTAATTTTATATTGTTGATAATACTTGTGATCTGTTGGGTTAAATAAAACACTGAAACTTACTTCAAGCCAGGTACAGTGGTGTATACCTGTAATCCTAGCAATTTAGAAGGCTGAGGCAGGTGGATTGTGAGTTCAGACCCTAACTTAGTGAGACCCTAAGCAACTCAGACCCTTTCTCGAATACAATAAAAAAAAAAATAGGGCTGGGGATATGGCTCAATGGTTAAGCCCCACTGGCTTTAATCCTTGGACCTCCCCCCCCCCCCCCCCCCCNAAAAAAAAAAAAAACAACTTACTACATCCTTTTACTTTTCTGATGTGGCTACTAGAAATTTTTAAATTATATAAGTAGCTTATATTTGTGGTTCATAGTATCGTTATTGAATATCCTTGTTCTAAACACTGTTAAAGTATTTATTATCGTTTAATCTTAATTGTCATTGTCTGAGGCTTGTTATTATTGTACCCATTTTTAAAATAAGTATATTTGATTTGCACCACTAAACCATGTAATCTGAGAAAATGAAACTTTATAGTAATTTCATAATCTGAGCTTTGGAGCAATAAAATTGACTTCATGATTTCAATGATATCTTATAGAGTTGATAAATAGACATAATTAGCATTTTTATTAGGAATCTTTTATTGCTCTAGTATAACTGTATAAAACCTGTCAGTAACATACAGTTTAAATTAAATATGAAGCATAATGGGTGTCATTATTTATTTGTACCCCGTTTATTGTTCCCATTTTAAGGATAAGGAAACTAAGACTGATAGAGGTTAAATAACTTGCCCAAAGTTATTTATTTGTTTATTTATTGCTTTAGGGAATGTTCATGAACTCAGGGTCTCACACATGATAGGCAAGCTCTCTGATCCTGAGCTATACCCCCAGCCCCCAAGGTTATATTTATGTAACCAGTAAAGGGTAGAACTAGGATTTGACTTCAGATGGTATGAGCTACCTAACTGTATCTGAAGTAAAGATTAAGAAATTCTTTGTACTTGCTAGTTTTATTTGAAGTCAAAAAAGAATATCAGTTCTTTGTCATGTCCATTTCTAAACAAAAGTCTCTTCCTCTGAACATCTCGAATTTGTGGAAGAGGTAGATTCTTTTAGCTACTAAAGGTATTTCAGGAAGTCTTAGGCCTTTTAAATAAAATCATGTACATTCTGATTGCTATATTCTAGTAATA